AAAAAAAAAAAAAAAAAAAAAAAAAAAAAAAAAAAAAAAGGGCCGACAGGCTGACTTGATTAATACTCTGAGTTACACTAATGTAGGACTTTATGCGTAGAGGGCTGATCCATGGCTGGGACTCAAAGGAGCCATTGTTTCACGGCAGGTGAGGTTTATTTCCTACAAATTCTTCACAGTAAAAGCAACGCCTTATTTAGACTGCGTGTGTTGTGTTTTCCATCACACCGCACGACAGGTAAAAGAAGCTCTTCATCCAACATCTCACTACGGCTGGTTCTGCTTGTACTCCTCCACTCTGCAGTATAAATAGACTTGTTTTCTTATTGACGAATGTCCGCTAACATAGCCTATAGCCTGTTAAACACATTCATCTGCTCGTGGGACTCGGCATACAAAAGCACATGTGGACAGTGTTTGTATTAATAGCCCCCACTGCTAGAAGGGTAGACAAAAGAGACAGAATTGAAATTTAGAAAAATCTGTGAATACCAACCCAACCCGTCTGTCTCCCACATTGGTGGTTCTTGATTGCATGTATTATTATTTTTGGATGCCCCGTGCTTAAACATGCAGTGTGGACCTGTGTGTACCCCTCCTGGTACTGACAGTAGCAGCTCCTCGCTGCTGTTGGAGTATTTCCAAATGGGCTTTATTTGGATAGACTGACCACATATTTAAAATCTAAATGGTTTCAGTAATAAAACTTATTAAAAGCCTTTTTTAAAGCTGAACAACAGGCTGTTATGTTATTGGCAAGTAAAGGAGGATAAAGCCGGCGAAGCTCAGCAAAGTAATTGAACGTGCACTCTAAAAGGGAAGTATGCGGAACAAGATGTGTAAAGGATTCATGCCTTGAGGCACAGAAAGCTACCGTGCAGGCTGGTTCCTTCATTGTTGACACACCCTAAGATGATCAGGAATGCTGCGGTGTGACCGCGCTACTGAAAACACACTTCCGTGTCACCTTGACAGCATAATTTCTGCTTAACAGAAACACCAAAGAATCGGCTCAGTTTGACTCCGAAAGACAACTGGAGCCCTCAAGTGGTCACTGGAGGCAGCAAAACAACATGTGATATAACCTTCAGAATGTGCTATTGTGAATGGCTGAGCAAACAGATACACACAGCACAAAGAAACATTAGCATTCATGGTTCTGGCCCACCTGTTGAATGAAAGTCCAATATTCAATCTCAGTTATCAGTAACTGAGTTGCTCATATTTATCATGTATACGGGGATATGACCCGGTTTCATCGTATCCCAATTTGATCATAACCGGGATTATCTTCATGTATCCATGTAAATACAGTCCTAGTCATTTGATCCATTGTTCTTACAAAAACTGTGGATTACTGCAGCCACACACACACACACACACACACACACACACACACACACACCTGGTCGTGGCTGACTTCTATGTGCTGCTTCATAACGATCCAGGAGACGGACTCGGTCAGGGGGGGTGTGGTCAGAGAGCCGTGGTAGGTCCAGTAGTCATCGGTGTTGGCGGGTAACAGGCAGGCAGGGTCGAACCTGTTGAACTCCACTACGCTGTCCTGCAGACAACACACAGGGGGAAAAAAACACACATGGTCCTGTTAGTCTAATTATTTTATTGTTACAGGCAAGAGACAAACAAGGTCATAGCTGTTCACACAAAAGGTTATAATTAAATTATATTATATATATTCATTATATAATATAATACAATTATTAAAATATTCATATAATTACGATAACAAATGTGCTAAAATCTCAATCTGTTCTTGGGACTTCTTATGATTACAGCACAGAAGATCTGAAGCTGTTATCTAAATACTACAACCATCGTTATCTAATCATTATCCATTATAAAATACGTCGCACAACAAGATGAGAGTTACACAACCGCCGCACTTCCTCTTATTGGACAAACCAACCGTATCAGACATCATTAGCGATAAGCAGAACGGTAGCAGTAACGTGAAACACAGGGGAAGCTATGACCTCCAGTCAGTCACCTTAAACATAACAAAGATATACAAACATATTTTCAGAAAAGCTTTGTTTTATTGTAAAAGACTATCTTTATAAAACTTATATTAGTAACGAATAGGATGTGCACTGTTTTAGTTTAAGAAGTTTAAGAAGGAATTTGTTAAAAAGGATTTTTAGCTCCAGATTTAGTTCCTAATTCAGGACACATATATACACATACACATGTATATATACACATACATATATATACACATACATATATATACACACATACAGTGGGTACGGAAAGTATTCAGACCCCTTTAAATTTTTCACTCTTTGTTTCATTGCAGCCATTTGCTAAAATCAAAAAAGTTCATTTTTATATATATATATATATATATATATACACATATATATATATACATACATACACATATACACATATATATACATACACACATATACACATACACATATATATACATACACACATATACACATACACACATATACACATATATATATACATACACACACACATATACATACACATATACACACACATATATATATACATACACATATATATATATATATACACATATATATATACATACACACATATATATATATATATACACACACACATATACACATATATATA